GTGCCACCGTGTGCTTATAAGGTGTCCCCGGGGCAGTTTTTACGTTCACAGGATCGAAGCCTTAGGTGAAGCCCCTCACTGAGGGAAGCCTTCTTTCTTCACACCCGGCCACGGTTTCCCGGGAGAACATTAGGCTCTGCTTCCTCCACGTCTCACTTGTGGGGTGGGCTGAAAGGATTGTGGAAAAGTCCTGTGAGAGAGGTCATAGCATGTGGGTTCCGGTGCCAGTGACTCGAGGGTGTTCCTGGGCAGCGTTTTTTTTTTGAGACAGAGTCTCACTGTGTTGCCCGGGCTAGAGTGCCGTGACGTCAGCCTAGCTCACAGCAACCTCAAACTCCTGGGCTCAAGCGATCCTCCTGCCTCAGCCTCCCAAGTAGCTGGAACTACAGGCATGCGCCACCATGCCCGGCTAATTTTTTCCATGTATTTTTAGTTGTCCAGCTAATTTCTTTCTATTTTTAGTAGAGATGGGGTCTCATTCTTCCTCAGGCTGGTCTCGAACTCCTGACCTTGAGCAATCCTCCTGCCTCAGCCTCCCAGGAGTGCTAGGTCCCCCTTTTTTTAAATAAAATGATGGCAGTGTTTTCTTTTTAGGACTGGTAAGGAGTTTAAACACATCTGAGGAAAAGTGAGATACAGATTGTGACTTGAATTTGAAACTCTCTAAATCTAACTTTTTCCCTATTAGGATTCACTACAACATTTTCTATTGCCTGTATCTTCAGGAGAATTCCTCCACTCAGGCCACAAAAGTTAAGGAGGAGCCATCCGTCTGGCCAGGGTAAGGATGCCTGTCAGTTGGGTGTGTGTTTTCTCGTCCGTTCTTGACTCTTTCCGTGCTTAGGGAGGGAGGTGTTTTGTTTCACTTGAGCAACTGTATGGAGGACTGTGGTGCATTATGTGACATTCGCCCATTTTAAGAGTACAATTCAGTCATTTTTTTTAGTACATTCACTGAGTTGTGTAACCAGCATTGTCATTTAGTTTTAGAGCATTTTTATCCCCCTAAGGGGAGGCCTTTTGTGGGTCACCTTTTGTTTACCCAGTTTGGTTTTTGGGCAGTCTATCCCCTGAGCTTTTCAATCCTTTTCTGTTTTTTTCTAATTTCTCTTCGGTGATGGTTACAGCAAGAAAACCATCCAACTTACACATGAACAGCAGCTGATTCTGAATCATAAGATGGAACCTCTCCAGGTGGTGAAGATTATGGCATTTGCAGGTGAGGGGGCGCGGCAGGCTCAGGATGTGGTTGTTTTCTGCCCTTTCTCCCTATGTCCCCTTCCCACTACCGGCCAGAGCACTTCACCGTCGTCGATTAGTGAACTGCCTCCGTCAGGTAACCTCGGAAGCGGTGGGCTCAGGACACCTGCTTCCTCTCAGCCTCCTGTGAACGTCCGCGTTGGAATTCCCATGGAGGAAGGTGGTTCACTGGGGTTAGCTGTGGGGTAGACACCACTGGGATCGGTGCAGCCCATCATCATCATCACCGCCATCGTGTGCTCAGTCACTGACTGCCCTGGAGAGGGAGGCCGTGGTGATCTCCAGCTCAGAGGGAGGGCCTGCCCTCCCTTTGCTCTAACCTGCGTTCCTAAATACATCGTCTGCTGTTCTCCTGACTAGTCAGCCGAGCCGCTTACAGTCTCCCTAGGTGCTTGGTTATTCTATCTTTTAAAACCTGAAATCCCATCCTGCTGCTTTCCCGGCTAAGTGTCCTGCTGACAGCATTTCCTAAATGCCTGCAGTGTGCTGGGCGTGGCGCTGATCCTAACGACATTCCGTGAGCTTGGTTAGTTACGCTTATTTTATAGATAAAGAAATTGAAGCTCAGAGAGACTCACCCCAGGTTAAATAAGCACATAGTGGTGGAGAATTCAAAGCCAGATCCAGGTCTTTCCAGAGACATTCCTTCTTCTCACTCCCCTGCCCCCATGGTCATCGTTGTCCTCACAAACCCTACAGTAAGTGTCACCCATGTATCGCTGAGGAGCAAACTGAAGCTCGGTGAGGTCAGGGGCTCGTTGTTACTCGGCTGGAAACTGCCAGGGCTGAGATCCTGGCTTCGAATCTGCTGCCCTTTGGGGACGAGCCTGGACCTGATTAGGGGGTCCGTTGGCACGTTTCGCCTGGTCAGAGGGTCACCTCTTTCCTCTGGGCTTCCCCAGGCACCGGGAAGACCTCGACCCTGGTCAAGTACGCGGAGAAGTGGTCTCAGAGCAGGTTTCTGTACGTGACGTTCAACAAGAGCATCGCCAAGCAGGCCGAGCGCGTCTTTCCCAGCAACGTCACCTGCAAAACCTTCCACTCCATGGCCTATGGGCACGTCGGGCGCAAGTGAGTGTCGCCCTCGTCCTGCCGTTTTTCCCATGACGATCACTGTGGTCATATGTGAGCTTGCACCACAGCAGCCTGAGGACACGTCATGCTGTCATCTCCACTTACAGATCTAGTGATTCGTACTTTTATCCTGTAAAATATATTGTTTACATGTAACAGTATCTTGCTGAGAGGGGCATTCTCATTTTTTTGGAATTGAGGCACAAAGGTCAAAACGCCTTGTTTAAAGTTGGGCTGTCACAAGTCTTGATCAGTTTTCGGCTGGGGTGGGTGGGAGACTCAGCGGAGGTGCCCTTGCCCCAGGTTCCCTGGGTGTAGAAACTTCGAGTGTCCCCTTGGGGGCCTCTTGGAGCCCAGATCACCCCTTGGAATAGTGGTATCTGCCACAAGCTGATTTCTCTTCTGGGTTGTTCCATGTGAGTTCCTGCAGGCCCAGGGTAAGCCATTCCAAATCAGGCGTGGACCTTGCAGAACCTCTCTGGCTTTTAAAAGTTCTGTCTCGGCTGATGTGACACCTGGACCTACCCTGTGATGTCGCTGGAGAGAACGGGGCAGGTGTTAAATACCACCGGACCAGGAAGGGCAAATTCTGTTCCTTTGGTATGTGCGTTACAGGTACCAGTCGAAGAAGAAGTTGAATCTCTTCAAGTTGACACCCTTCATGGTCAGTTCCGTCCTTGCTGAGGGGAAGGGTGGATTCATACGGGCCAAGCTCGTGTGTAAGACTTTAGAGAACTTCTTCGCCTCGGCCGACGAGGAGCTGACCATCGACCACGTGCCCATCTGGTGTAAGAACAGCCAAGGACAGAGAGTGATGGTGGAGCAGAGTGAGAAACTGGTCAGCATCCCGGCGTCTTACGTGTTAGGGACCTGGGGACGGGAGGGTTGCCCAGGCATGGGGCTGGCAGGGCACGTGTTGTTTCTGTCATCTCTGCAGAGCAGCTCGCAGGAAGTGGAAGGTGGCAGGGGGAGGCCGTAGCCCGCAGTCCCAGCTGCCAGTCGTCTGGTGTTTTCTCCTGTGAGGACCACCCATGGACCTCTCACTTAATCCTCACAGTAGTTCTCCCGTTTAGCAGGAGACGGGACAGAACACGACCTGCTCGTGACTTACAAGGGCTTGACATTGGGGCTTCTGGACCTAGAATCTGAGCTTATCTGAAGCCTGGGAATCTCTTTTCTAATTTTTTTGGTTATTGGTTCTGTAGAGTAGGTTTTACTAGTGGAAAAGCTATTTCTTATTTTTACCAAGTCTTTTCCATCCTTTGCCACTCTTTTTATGAGTTAAGTATCAGTCTTGAATCTAGAAAGACAGTCCACCTTTTCCTGGTTCATCCAGAGTCGGGACTTGGCGCGGCCCCAGCTGCTCCCTCATCAGCACTTGACCCCCTCTGCAGCGTGCAAAGGCGTCGCAGAGCCCGTGGAGGCCTGGCAGGCGCCGCTCACCCTTCTGTGGTGACACCTTTGCCCCCACTGCTGTCTGGGATGGAAGCGTGACTGCAGGGTGCTGCCTTTTCCAGGGATTCAAACCATGGGTTACCGTGTCTCTTGCTTTCTAGAATGGTGTCCTTGAAGCCAGCCGCCTCTGGGACAACATGCGGAAGCTGGGGGAGTGCACGGAAGAGGCGTACCAGATGACTCACGATGGTAGGCAAGCTCCGGACGTTGCGTCTGTTACGTGGAACGGCCTTCCTGCGCGTTCTGACTCTCGCTGCTCCCTTCTTTTAGGCTACCTGAAGCTCTGGCAGCTGAGCAAGCCTCTGCTGGCCTCTTACGATGCCATCTTTGTGGACGAGGCCCAGGACTGCACCCCAGGTGATAAACTGTTCTGGACACCCGTAGTCTCAGATGCTAGAAACAGCCTCGCGATTACGTAAGAGGACTCGTGTGTGCAATGAGTTGATTATTCTTATTTGTGATAAAGAAGAGGAGCAAACGATCCTCCTTATGTGACTTAAGATTTCAGCAGTTGTCCCCATGGCCACCCGCAGCACGTTTATCTTCCTCCATGTGTTTCACTCGGGTGGTTCTTAAAACGTGGACTTAGTGGGGGTCACAGGGTGATGGGGACCTGGGCTCATGCTCCCTGGGAAAAGAGTCAATTTAGAGTAAAAAATCTGTCCTGTTTCTCAAGTGGCTCATGGAGAACAGACAATTTTATGAGTGTGACTTTGGAGGTCATTGGATGTTATGTTACAATATTGGAAGACAATTTGTCCCGTTTTATATTTGCCTATGTAATTTCTGATACTGAATAATTCATCCATGACTAGAAATAATCTGTATTTCTAGGACCAAAAACCATTTCTTTTGTCCGTTATAAAATTGCTGCTTTTGATTGCATGCGCGTGCCCTGCAGAAAAAGGCAGCTTTGTTGTCCGCGTGCCCTGGCTTTTTTTGTGAAAGCGTTTTCACCCTTTTCTGTTTGCCGGGTGGGTTGGAGGCCTCGAGATTTCTCACTGTCCCTCTTGTTGCTGCTTGCAGCCATCATGAATATAGTTCTGTCCCAGCCCTGCGGGAAGATCTTCGTAGGGGACCCGCACCAGCAGATCTATACCTTCCGTGGCGCGGTCAACGCTCTGTTCACCGTCCCCCACACCCACGTCTTCTATCTGACGCAGGTAAGCGATCTCACTGCGTCTGAGAGCAAGCGTTACGTCTTCCCGTTTTTACGCGCCATGCACTGCGCGAGGCATCCCGCTCGGCTCACAGCGTGCAGCAAATCGTCACTGCCGAGCAGGAGTTCCCAAAGTGTGGTTTTTGGGGGCCGGCACAGCCACGCCGCTTCCATGGTGGTTACTGCACGACAGTTGTCGGAGGAAGAGCTGCTAGCCGAGCTGTGAGGTGAGCCGGCTGCTGCTGTCTTGCACCACCTGTGCTCGAAAGGACAGCTGACAGACGGTGCCGGTTGTCCCGACTTGGGTATTTGGCCTTTTTTCAGAGATGAATGAAATGCTCTGTGACTTCAGGGAAAATAACTGACAGTGTTTGTTGTCAAAGGTAACGTTTTTGCTTTCAAGCCAAATTAAAATTTTGGCAAACTCAGATCCGTGACGGTGAGCATGACGACTGTGAAAAGGTCATTAGACACCCCTCCCTCTGCAGCAGCACGTCTGCGTGAGGCCGAGCTCTCTTCACATGCCTCAGCAAGACAGCAGATCGCAGCAGACCTCACGCAGATGTCAGTGCGGGAGGCCGGCTGTTGTCCATAAGCCAGGCACTGAAGAGATGTGCAAAGAGGAAAAGCAGTGCCGCTCTTCTTCTTAAATTGTTTTTGTTCTGGGAATTGTAGTTATGTTTGTTTCAAAAAATACATTCTTCATGCTATCATGTAAGAGGCTTATTTTTATTTTTAAATGAGTTAAAGTTTCTAATGTGATAAATGTAGATAGATAGAGCTCATGTAAATAAAAGCTCTTTGGAGGCCTCAGTAATTTTTAAGTGTGAAGCGTCCTAAGGCTAGAAGTTTGAGAACGGCTGGTTTTATGAAACTCACTTCTAGTTAGAGGATATGAGACGTGTCACTTGTATTAAAGTATAAGCTGTACTGTGTTTCGTTGAAAGTTCTGTGGACTCCTCTTTGACTCTTCCTTTGTTCCTGTCTGCTATGGTGATTTATGGTGGCCCCAGCTCAGAGTAGTTTTGTTCTTTTAGTAGACAGTATTTTTTTTAGAGCAGTAAGATTTATAGAAAAATTGAGAAGAGAGTTCTAATATGCCTTGCACTCAGTTTCCCTTGTTACAAACATATTAACGTGGAACACTTGCCACAAATAATGAACCAGTAATGATATATTAATATAAACTAAAGTCCAGGGTTCATTCATATTTCCTAAGTTTTGATTTTTGTTTTTTAAATTTTTTTTTTAGAGATAGGATCTTGCTCTGTCGCTCAGGCTGGAGGATCTTGCTCTGTCGCTAAGGCTGGAGTGCAATGAATGGCATGATCATAGCTCAGTGTAGCCTTCAACCCTGGGCTCAAGCGATCCTCCCAAAGTGCTGGGATTATAGGCATGAGCCACTGCACCCAGCCTAGTTTTTCAATAATGTCTTGTGCTACTCCAGGATCCCGTCCGTATACCAGGTTACGTTTAGTCACATGTCCTTAGGCTCTTCTTGGCTGTGACAGTTTCTTAGACTCTGCTTGTTTTTTATGACCTTGACAGTTTTGAGGAGTACTGGTCAAGTACTTTGTTTTATAGGATGCCCCTGTACTGGAATTCATCTTACATGTTTTCTCATGGACTAGGGTTCTGGGCTCTGGGAGGATGACCACAGAGGAGAGGTGCCATTTTCATCACATGCTACTGAGGGTGCATACTGTCAGGGCAGTTCATGACTGCCAGTGTTGAACTTGATCACCTGGCTGGAGCAGGCTTCTCCAGGCTCCTCCTTTGCACACTGTGTGCTCTGTAGGAAGTCCCTATCCTCAGTCCACACTGACGGAGCTCATGTTGGAGAATCTTCATAAATTATTGGAATTCTTCTGCAGAGATTTGTCTTTTCTCTCCTATTGATTTAGTCAGTCATTCAGCTGACGGATATGTATAATTTGGGTTATGGTTCATTGAGAATAGTTTTATAGCAACAGTGTACTGTTTGTTAAAAGTCCAATTTTCCTTTGGCTGTATTATTGCTCTTTGCCAAAGCACATAAAACTTTATTGCCTGAAGTTATGAATGCATGGAAACAGGCAGTAAACACCATGAGTTTGGGGAAGAATGCTATCTTTTCAGCCAGATGGTCAAGGAAGTGTAGGGTCTTGGGCTGAGTTTTGGAGGGTACGAAATGATACTGGTAGAGGAAAAGGAGTTCTAGGCAGAGAAAACAGCATGAGCAGGGCAGGGGCTGTGCAGGGAGCTCCAGTTCGTACTGATTCTGCTCGTGGCTAGTGGGCGCTGGTGGCGATTATAAACTTAGTACTGCGCAGGCGGTGATTGTGAAGTTAACGTAAGGGTCTCAAAGGTAAGGGGAGAAACCCTCCCTACCCTCTCTTAATCCTTTGTATAATTTAAACTTCACTAGATTTGGGAAAAAAGGATAGATTTGCTTAAAAGAAAAGTTCACTGTTGGCATTGGGGAATAATGGAAAATAAAGCCTGCCCAGGTGGTGAAGGATCTGGAAAGTAAATGAATCAACTTTCCTTTCCGTGTCGGGCGAGTCGGGAGTGCCGTGCCGGGTTTGGCAAGGCCAGGCCTCGGCAGCAATGATGTGCGCGTGGACGTCAGGGCAGTTGCTAACTACCTTTGTTTTGTTTTCCGACAGAGTTTTAGATTTGGCGTGGAGATAGCTTACGTGGGAGCTACCATCTTGGATGTTTGCAAGAGAGTAAGGAAAAAGACTCTGGTTGGAGGAAACCATCAGAGTAAGGCTTTCAGTCACTCCTCTCTCATTTGTCACAAAAACTAGTTTTCCTCCTTATTTTGATTTGCCGTACAGTTTGTGCTCTCTCCCCAAAGGTGGCATCAGAGGTGACGCAAAAGGGCAGGTGGCCCTGCTGTCCCGGACCAACGCCAACGTGTTCGATGAGGCCGTACGAGTGACCGAAGGAGAAGTACCTTCGAGGATCCATCTGATTGGGGTGAGAGGAGATTTCTGTTGACGGCTCCATGCACAGAAACTTTGCAGATGAACATACCCAGTGAACATGTTCAACTTCTCTGAGGTTATTATGCAAGAATGTTTTGGGTTTTTACTCTGTCGGCCGGGCTGTTCCATGACTGGAGTCTCTGCCCCGCCGTTCTTTTTTGCTAGCGGAACCTCCCTATGAAGCATACTCAATGAGGACCAAGGCCCTTTTCCTCCTCTATTGAAAAAATGAACGTCCTGGCCGGGCGCGGTGGCTCACGCCTGTAATCATAGCACTCTGGGAGGTTGAGGTGGGAGGATCGTTTGAGCTCAGGAGTTGGAGACCAGCCTGAGCAAGAGCGAGACCCCGTCTCTACTAAAAATAGAAAGAAATTGGCAGGACAACTAAAAATATATAGAAAAAATTAGCCGGGCATGGTGGTACATGCCTATAGTCCCAGCTACTCGGGAGGCTGAGGCAGGAGGATTGCTTGAGCCCAGGAATTTGAGATTGCTGTGAGCTAGGCTGATGCCACAGCACTCTAGCCTGGGTAACAGAGCCAGACTATGTCTGGAAAAAAAAAAAAATTGAACATCCTTCTCACCTGGACGTTGCAAATGAGGCTGCCGGCTACCCAAAGCTTTCCTGGTTGTGTGTTGTCCCTTAGCGTAAGAACAGCTGGGCTGACCACATGTGGCGTTAAGACCTGGGTTCTAGCTCTGGCTCTGTCACTAGCTTCGTGTGGCCCGAGGCAAGTCACAACTTCTGTGCGCCTCATTCTCTCCACCTCTAAGACAAAGGTAATGTTCTCATTTGCCCGTCTCACGGGGAGCTAGGAGGATCAGAGGGTACCTTGACGGCATTTTAAACTGTGAAACAAAATTATACAACTGAAAGAAACTCATTTATGGGAAAAATATTTTCGAGGGTGTGCTGTGTGTTAGGCACTCAGTAAATTCAATAGTGAATCGTAATTAAAATGTTTTAAGTTTTTTATTTATAAAGATTACATAATTGTGTTATAGAAATTTTGGAAACTAAAAAAATCACATGATCCCTGTATTTCATATAATTTCATTTTTGCTAATTATTTCTGTCTTATCCTTGTAGATGTGTATTTTTGCATAATTGCAATTATAGTGTACGTTAAAATGTATGCTGTTTTCACTCAATACATAAGCATATATTCTTTCATTGCTACTTTAATGACCTTGTAATATTTCATATAGTGGATATAGCATAATTTAGCCATTTTCATTATTGTAAGAGAATAATATTTTTAGAATATCGTCCATGCTGGGCAAAATATAAAGTAAGTTGTTCTCGTCTCTCACATCCACTTACTGCCTGTAGCGTGTGTCATGGCACATGATCACACATCTGGTTGTGAATTATAATGGATACTGTCATATTTCCTTTTTTCTTTTTTTAATTAAAAAAATTTTTTTGAGACAGTCTTGCTGTGTCACCCTAGCTAGAGTGCAGTGGCGTCATAGCTCACAGCAACCTCAAACTCCTAGGCTTAAGTGATCCTCCTGCCTCAGCCTCCCAGAGCGCTGGGATTACAGGTGTGGGCCACCGCGCCAGCCTCAGTCTCTGTTTTATGTCAGTTGGGTGCACCCGTCCCTTGGGTGCAGTTTGAGATTGACTTCCAAGAAACCGTCTCTTTCCAAAATCCCATCCCTACATTTGGCATATTTTATTGTGTTAAAACGACAACCATAAAACAAGAAAATAACAAAAAAGCAAAAATCCCACCAAAAATCTTTTTCAGGGGATCAAATCATTTGGATTGGACAGAATCATCGATATCTGGATCCTCCTTCAGCCGGAGGAAGAACGGAGGAAACGTGAGTACCCACTGGCCGCGGGACGCGTCAGGTGCTGGGGCGGGGGAGGGCAGGGCCGGCTCCAGTCAGGCCTCTTACTTTCCTTCCGGAGAAGGCGGAGCAGGCGGCGCCCTTTCCCACGAGGAGTGGGTGCCCGAGGCCTCCTGTCTTCCGAGGTGCCAGCAGTTCCCCATCCCTGCCTCAGGAGCCTCCGTTTCTTCCCCCCGCTGGTCCCGCAGGCTGTCTTCCGCCCCTTCTGCCCGGCAGCCTCACACCTGGCCCCTGCCGTGGTAGCGCCTCGCACTTCCTAGCGCTTTTCTTCTCCGGCTTCCACACCACCGGCCGTCGTGCCGCGGTCAGGACCGTGCTGCCGCCGCCCTCTGTGCGTGTCCCCCGTGGCGCGTTAACCTGTGGTGTATCCTCCTCAGGAAACCTCGTCATTAAAGACAGATTTATCAGAAGATGGGTGCACAAAGAAGGCTTTAGCGGCTTCAAGAGGTACGTGACGGCCGCCGAGGACAAGGAGCTCGAGGCAAAGATCGCAGTCGTGGAAAAGTACAACATCAGGATTCCAGAGCTGGTGGAGAGAATAGAAAAATGCCACATCGAAGACCTGGACTTCGCAGGTGAGGGAAGCGGCTGGTTTCTACCTTCCCGCCAAGAGAGGCGCAGGTGGTCTGATGTTTGGTACCTGCGCGAAGTGTCTGTGGCCAAGGATGGCTTCGTCGTTTAAGACAAAGGGGAGCAGAGTTCTCGTTCTTATTCAGGGGCTCTTTGTTCTGTTTTACTTCCAAGCCCGTAGCATGGGATTCTCTAGCCCCAACTCTGCCAGGGGTAACTCTGGGCAAGGCACGCAGCCCTCTCCCAGGCCTCTGTCCCCGCACGTATAAGATACGGGGTTCACGTAAGTCCTTCTGGCCTCTGGAACGTGATTCTGAGAGGTGCTGGCTCCTGCAACTCATTTTCTACTTTTCCCTTCCTTTTTCTTTTTCTTCTTCTTTCGACCATAGTTTCTTCTGTCCTCCTTTCCACACAAAACTATACTTAGCAAGAAAATTTCGTTAGAGTTTCAAGGGTCAAGTAGGGCACAAAAAGTTTTGTTGTTGTTCTTTTGTTTCTTTCCCTGAGACACCCCCCTCTAACCATATGCCGTGTGTTTGTTCTAGAATACATTTTGGGCACCGTGCACAAAGCCAAAGGCTTGGAGTTTGACACTGTGCATGTTTTGGATGATTTCGTGAAAGTGCCTTGTGCCAGGCATAACCTGCCCCAGCTTCCCCACTTCCGCGTCGGTAAGGAGCCTGGTCCTCTGGGCTGCTCTGATCTCAACAGTGAAGCGTTGGCGCGATGCTTCCCTGTGACTGCCTTGATTTTTGCTGGATGGTGTGGCCTCCTGGGAGGGCCCTTCTAGAAAAAAGAACAAAACATCTCCTGGTCTTAAACTTTTGATTCCTGTACTGCGGTTTTTAGAAAAAGCAAACTTCCCCTGGGTGCAGCGCTCTTGGGTAAAAGCTTTAACACAGACAGTTACCTGCTAACTGAGCTGTTCTTTCTTTAATTAGTTTCCCTTCTTTTTGTCAAAGAGATCAGGTAAAAGACAAAATAGTAAATACTCCTTATCGTTTGTCTGCTTTTTAATAAATTCATGCTCAAGGCTAGTTGTTAAACTCTAAGCATCAGTGATTTTGTTTTGGTTTTAAATCTCAGAATAAAACCATTTGAAATTTCCCTACAAACAAACAAAAGCTGTTAACTGTGGGTTCAAAATTTGGGGCATAGCATACACTGGGTGCGGAAACACAGACACCGAGCACTTTATCTTTGGCGAGCGCGGCCGTGAGGCGGCAGACGTGCCGAGCGTGAGCTGGAGTGGGGCGAGGGCAGGACGTGGCCCTCGGGAGACACTAGCTGCTTTTTATTGGGAGGGAGAAGTTTTTGTTTTATTATTCTACCACTTTTTTTTCCTGCTGGTTTACATGTTTACATACTTGATTTTTTTTTTTTTTTTTTGGCAACGGCTTTACTGAGGTGTAATTTACATAGCACACGGTTCAGACTGTGGGGTTCAGTGGCCGTTAGCGTGTCTGCAGACCAGCTGCTCTGAGTTCCTGCTGCCGTGTAGGTGTTGTGACCGAGATGACAGGCGTGGGGCGGGCCAGGCAGACTTGTCCGTGTGCGTGTCCCGGGACGGCGTCAGGTGTTTCCAGATTGGACTCTGTCCAGAGAGGCAGCCTAAGGAAGTGGAAGGAGTGTGAACTTGAGACACAAGCAGACTCGGGTCCAGCTCCCGGCCCTCGATGAGCCGTGCGTGGCCTTGTTTGTGTGAGCGGGGTCACCTCTTTAAACCTCAGTTTCCCCGTATGTCTCACAGGCTTCTTGCGAGGAGGACTGGGATAGCGAATGTAAATATCCACCTGGCACGTCACAGGTGTGATAACCAATTAACACAGCCCTGGGATTTACATAGCAGGACTGAATAAAACCCAGCGTTTTGTGCTAGCAGTCTGCTAGGTTTTGGTTTATTTTTGGCCGTTGTAGGAAAATTTTATGTAAACAGGCAGCAAACCTTCAGTGGTTTTTTTGGGGGGGTGGGGTGAGAGGTAGTAAACATTTAGGTGAGAACATAAGTTTCTGTAAGCTGCTTTTGAGTTGATTTTTTCCCCTTTACTTTCTTCAGAGTCATTTTCTGAGGACGAATGGAATCTACTGTATGTTGCAGTAACTCGTGCCAAGAAACGTCTCATCATGACCAAGTCGCTGGAGAACATCTTGACTCTGGCCGGGGTAAGAGGGATGGGAGGCATGAGCTACTTTGGCAACGTTCGGGTTTTGTTTGGTCCGCGTGAGGGACCAGGATCCCGGGTTGGAAGGGAAGGGCTTCTCGAGTGTGCAGAGGCGGATCACGGTGCAAGAAGCGTTCTCACACAACAGAAACGCTCTTGTCTAAGTTCTTTCCTAATTCGGTCTAAAAAGTTCTGTTTAAAATCAGCAGTGTTCATATATTTCTTAGTTTCTTCCTTTCTCGATCAATTCTCAACACTCTTAGGGAAAAAATGGCAAGCATGTTTTCTGCGTCCAGACTTCTCCTCGTTCCTTTGGAAATGGCTGCTGTAGCCGCCACCGGCGGGCTTTCCAGAACACACGTCCAGGCCAGGGGAGAATGAGTGTTCAGGCTCCTGGCCTTTGTCACTGGCCGAGATGCAGAAGAGTGAGCTACTCAGCACTCGCTCACTCACTGCTCCTCCCCAAAACACCTTCTCCCCCCTCTTAACTTACTTTTGTCTATTTGCTGCCTTTCGCGGCTAGAGTATAAACCATGTTGTCTTTCAATCCTGTTGTAAACCAGAACAGACCTTTTTTGGGGGATTCTGGGGGATAGAGTCTCGCTCGGTCACTCAGGCTGGAGCGCAGTTTTGTGATCATAGCTCCCTGCAGCCTCGAACCCCTGGGCTTGTGCCATCTTCCTGTTTCAGTGTCCGAAGCAGCCGGGACTACAGGTGTGCACCATCACACCAGCTAATTTTTCTATTTTTTTGTAGAGTCAGGATCTCTCTCTTGCTCAGGCTGGTCTCTAACTCCTGGCCTCGAGTGATCCTCCCGACTCAGCCTTCCAAAGTGCTAGGATTACAGATGTGAGCCACTGTGCCCAGCCTCCAATTTTAATTTTTAATTCAAACTTTTTGTTGTTAAATATAACACAAATATGTAAAACAGCATAAAGCAGTTTAAAATCATGATGCAGTGAGCGTACGCCAGATCAGGAGATGGGACCTGCCAGCCTCCTGGCTTCGTGGCGCCCTCTCCCCTCCCGAGGTCATGGGAAGCACCGTCTCAGTTTGCCGCGCAGTGTTCTACCAAGCGCGCACCACCAGTCATGAGTACTGAAGACGAGACGCTTTTTGCATGTGCTCTTCTTCCACCCCCCCCCCCCC